TTTTTTTAAATATGGAACGCTTCACGAATTTGCGTGTCATCCTTGCGCAGGGGCCATGCTAATCTTCTCTGTATCGTTCCAATTTTAGTATATGTGCTGCCGAAGCGAGCACACTTTCATGTTATTTTCAAGTGAATATGAAGCATTAGAGAAAATATACCAGAGGCTGGACCATAAAGTTAAGTCTCAAAAACTGCTAAAGATTAAAGTAACATAGTGTGAGGCCAGGCACAGTAGCTCATCACCTGTAATCTCAGCACATTGGGAGGCCGAGGTGAGTGGATCACTTGAGGTCAGCCTGACCAACATAGTGAAACCCCATCTCTACTAAAAATACAGAAAAAAAAAAAATAGCTGGGCGTGGTGGCACACACCCATAATCCCAGCTATTTGGGAGGCTGAGACACGAGAATCACTTGAACCCAGGAAGCAGAGGTTGCAGTGAGCCAAGATTGCGCCATTGCACTCCAGTCTGGGCGACAGAGTGAGACTCTGTCTCAAATAATAATAATAATAATAATAATAATAATAATAATAAAGTGTGTGTTCTTTGGTCACATTGGAATTAAACTAGAAATCTGTAATAGATAAGTAAAAAATCCACAAATGCTTTACAACTAATTAACATACCTCTAAATAGTCAAGGGTCAAGGTAAAAATTATAATGAAGATTAGAACATATTTTTAATGGAATGATAATAAAATACAACAAAACCTATGGACAGAAAAATTAACTCAAAATTGAGTGTAGGTCTAAACATAATATATAAAGCCATACAATTTCCAGAAAAAAACAGGAGGAAAAACTTCAGGATCCTAGGGTAGATTAAAATTTTTTAAAGTAAGAACCAAAAAGGTATGACACACACACACAAAAAGACAAATTGATATCTATCCAAATCCAAAACATCTGCTCTTCAAAAGACACCACTAGAAAAATTTAAAAGGAAGCTAAAGACTGAGAGAAAATATTCACAACATGTATATATGATAAACGACTTGTATCTAGACTAAACAAAGAGCATTACAACTTAATACTAAGACCAATAACTTAATTCTTAAAATGAGCAAAATATTTAAACATACTTGACAGTGGAGAGATATAAAGGCCATTAAGCACACGAAAAATGCTCAACATGGAAATGCAAAGCAAAACCACCTTAAAGCACTGCTGCACACATTAGAAAAGTTACAATTAAAAAAAAACCTGGCTGGGCACGATGGCTTACGCCTGTAATCCCAGCACTTGGGGAGGCCAAGGCATGTGGATCATGAGGTCAGGAGTTCGACACCATCCTGGCTAACACAGTGAAACTCCATCTCTACTAAAAATACAAAAAAGTAGCCGGACGTAGTGGCACGTGCCTGTGGTCCCAGCTACTCAGGAGGCTGAAGCAGGAGAATCGTTTGAACCTTGGAGGCAGAGGTTGCAGTGAGCCAAGATTGCCACTGCACTCCAGCCTGGGCAACAGAAAGAAGACTCTGTCTCAAAAAAACAAAATAAAATAAAACAAAAAACCTGACAATTCAGTTGGCAAGGCTGAAATTACATCAAAAAATCATACATTGTTGGTGGGTTGTAAAATGGTACAAATACTCTGGAAAACAATTGGCAGTTTCTTATAAAGTTTTACATATATTTATCATTTGAACTAGCAACTCCAAACCTAGAAATTGATGCAATATAAAAAAATATAGGCCTACACAAAAAGTTGTACATGACTGTTCATAGCAGATTCATTAATCATAACCCCCAACTGGAAACAGCCTTCGAGTGAGTTAATCAATTGTGGTCATATATTAATATAATGGTATGCTAATCAGCAGTAAGAGAATGAAACACTGACGCACACCATATTAACGGACTGCAAAACTTTACGCTGAAAGGCAGACACAGAAGAATATGCTGCATATTACTAACAAAACTTCTACAACTGAAAAATACAATAACTTCTATAATTGAAAAAAATTGCAAAAAATCTATTCCATATATAGGTGTGTGTATATATATATATATATATATATATATATATATATATAAAATATACTGTATACCTATGTTGTAATAATCAACATTTAATGCTATAGCATTCATAGCATCAAAAACATCAAATACATAGTACTAATCTAACAAAACTTCTACAACTGAAAACATACAGTAACTTCTATAATTGAAAAAAATTGCAAAACTTTGCAAAAATACAAAAATTGCTGAAATTTTGAGGTCAGGGGTTTTTAAGGCAGGTGGATCACTTGAAGTCGGGAGTTCAAGACCAGCCAAGCCAACATGGGGAAACTCCACCTCTACTAAAAAAAAATACAAAAACTTATCTGGGTGTGATGGCAGGCATTGTAATCCCACCTGCTTGGGAGGCTGAGGCAGGAGAATCACTTGAGCCCAGGAGGAGCTGAGACTGCACCACTGTACTGCAGCCTGGGTGACGTAGCAAGGCCAAACAACAACAATAACAAAATCCAAAATGTTGAAATTAAAATATCTATATAAATAAAAAGGTTTGGAATACTCATAGGTTGAATGTTTCAATATTCATGTTTGTACATTCATTTTTCCAGAATTAACTCATGTTTTTGATGTTATGCCAACAAAATCCTAGCTTTTTGGTATGGTGTAATTAAAAAAAAATCATTCAACAATGTAAATGAAAATGCCAAGGACCTAAAATAGCAGTGACAATTTTGAATAAGAACAAAATTAGAAAACATACACAGTTGATCCTTGAGCACAGGTTTTAACTGTGTGGGACCACTTACATATGGGTTTACTTCTACCTCTGCCACCTGAGACCAACCCCTCCACTTCTTCTTCCACCTCAGTACTGCTCAACGTGATGATGAAGATAAAAGATTTTGATGATGATTCACTTCTACCTAGTGAATAGTAAATATATTTTCTCTTCCTTATGATTTTCTTAATCATATTTTTTCTCTAGCTTACTTAAGAATACAGTATATAATACCTATACAAAATATGTGTTAATTGACTGTTATTGGCAAGGCCCCTAGTCAAACATAGGTTATTAGTAGTTAACTTTTTGAAGTCAAAAGTTATACAATGATTCTTGATTGTGTGAGCGGTCAGTTCCCCTAACCCCCGAATTGTTCAAAGGTCAACTGTACTACCAGTTTTCATTTAAAATATTTGGTATTGGTACAATAATAAACATATAGAACAATGAAACAGAATAGTCCAAAAGACCCTAACATGCATGATCATCTGATTTATAATTAATGTTTAACTACAATTCAAGGAAAAAATGGGAAGATGGATTTTTCAATAAATGATGTTGAACAAATTGCTTATTTGTATGAAAAATACTTTGAACTCTACTCCATGCCATACATAAATACTAATTTCAGATGGATCATACACATAAAATAGATATGTAGAAGAAAATGTGAAAAATATCTTTATTACCTTAAGAAAATATTTCTTAAACTTGGCAAAAAAAGCACTAATCATAAAGAAAAGTTACTCTTTATCAAAATTAAGAACTTATATTCATCAAAGAACATCATTTAGAGAGTGAAAAGGTAACTGCAGATATTTGTAATACAAACATCTAAAAAAAATCTTGTCTCCAGAATATATAAAGAATCCTACAAGTGAGCAAAAAGCAGTTCCCAATTAAAAAGTGGCAAAAGTCTTGAACAGGTACTTCTCAAAGAAGATATTTAAAAAGCTAACACATATAGAAAGGGGTGTTCAACAGTATTATCCACCGAGGAAGTACAAATTAAACCCATAATGGAATAGTGGCATGCACAAGAACCAGACCCTGCCAGCTCACTGTGCCACTCAAACTGCTCTAGTCAGGTTGGTGTGGGTCATCCCCAGGCCCTTACTCAACGGACACTCTTCACTTCTTCTCATTTGAACCTGCTGACCATGTTCCTCATCTTGAAGTGCTTGCCTCTAAGGCAGGAATGGGAGGCAGGGTTTAGTTGTAGTGAGGATTTGGAGGCAGAATGGAGTGACCAACAATGTTGGCATTATGCCACATTGAACTCTGTGACAGCAGGGCTTCTTAAAGGTCTGACTCTCCAACCTTTCAGTCAGAAAGTGGTACATTAACTATCTTCAATGAGGATTAGTCTCTTAGCAACAGTTGATAAGTTTCACTATTAAACTTCAATCAAAAATGGTCATTCTAACCCGAATGTCAAGTTGTTCATTTATGAAGGAAGATAATTCACATCATTCATCCTCTAATTCCTTTCCAATGTTAAATATGTATTTACCCTGGCATTGTGAAATGGGTATTTGCTCTTCTTTTCTTAGCCTCTCTGAAGTGTAACTCATCATGCCTTGTTCTTTTGGATGTCAGGTCTTTGGTATGTTAGGGCCTTCTGGTATTCGGGCCTCAGCCTCTAGGTTCCCACTGTTACTCTAGGCCCCTCCTAGCAGAAGTATTTCATAGTGTTCCCAGAACTTCTAAGCCCTCATTTATAGACTTGGGAGGTATTGGCTATTTTCTCTCTATATACTTCATTATGCAAAGTTGAGAGACTTTACATAGATCCATAAAGACACCTATTGTTGCCTTTGTGACCTTTTCTTTGATGGCATGTTGAAAGTGGAAATTCCGAGGCTTGCGGTCTTCCGGTCTACTTTCTGGGTACAAGTTTCAGATATTCTTGGGTATATTTTTCATTTATTTGGAATTTCTATCACTTCCTACAAATAAAACTCAGTGGTGGGAATAAGGTGCCAAGGAACATTTTTTGGAATTTGGGTAACATAAGAAACAATTTCCATGCTCTCAGATCCACGAGCACCTCTCCCCCTCACTGCATATCCAGCACTGAGGGTAGGTCCTGCACATTGAAGGTGTCCAACAAATAAAGTGCACAATAAAAAGATTTTTCCTCTTTATATAAATATTGTATGTTCATTGCAAAGAAAAATTTAACTTAAAAACACAGAAAAGAAAGTAAAAAAAAAAAAACAAAAAATACCTGACACTTCACTAAAACAGAAATAACCATCATTAAATTTTTGGAGAACATGCTTTCATTCATCTCCCTCAAATGTTCACATAAATACATACTATTACATACACAGTTTTATACCATATGTGTGGCATTTACATTTTTCTGTTTGTACACTCTCCCCTCATCTCTATTTCTCCTTTGCTCCCTCCCCTCAAGGTAATCAATATCAACAGCCTGGTGTATATTCTTCCATACCTGTCTCCATGTGCATCTAATCACACACACACATAAATACAAAATAAATGAGTATGATAATTTTAACAAAAATGAAATACTGTATATATACATTTCTGCTACAAAGCAATTATTTATCATACATTGTGGAAATACATTGAAATCAGCTAGTATATAATTCATTTAAAAAATTACTCTCACACTGTTCCATAATATTGATATGTCACAATTTACCTAACCATTTCCCATATTAATGGGCATTCATTGTGTTTGCAGTTGGGGCTTTGCCCCTTCTACAAACAATACTTCAACAAACATGTTTATTTATATTCTTATGCATTGATGCTGCTTTTGTTTCTATTGGACAGATCCCAAAAGTGAGACTGCTGGGCCTAACAGTATATATGTTTTAAACTTTTAAATGTATATTGTTGGACTGATGGTGGAAATATGTTATGTAACCTTTAAATAAGGATACATGGTTTCCCAAACCCCAATAGCAAAAGATCTCTTAACATTTACCAAATCCATGAAGGGGAAGTTTCATCTCACTGCTCATTTCAATTTTCATTTCCCTGAGTACTTTTTAGGTTCAAAATCTTTTCATGGGTTAATTATCACTTAGAGTTGCTCTCCTATGAAGAACCATCCAGTCCAGGGGGATTAAAGACTTAAATGTAAAAAATAAAATCATCAAAATCTTAAAAAGAAATTTAGGATGCTACGTATAACCTAGGCATTAAAGAGATCTGTTTTAAGTAAAATGAGTAAATAAAAAATCTAAAAATAAAATGATATAAATATTTTCTTAAAAAAGTGTTGTGCCATTACTAAAAAGTATAAAGGCAAATGCTAGATTAAGAAAAACATGTTACATAATGACAAATGATTAATACCTAAAATGTATTAAAAGTTCCTCTAAGTTTATAAGAAAAGACAGATAAATGAATAGAAAAATAGGCAAATACATATATAGGCAATTAACTGAAGATAATTTGTTAAAAGAGTAAAGTATAAAATCTGGATAAAAGCTTTCATTTGTTCATTATTTTCCTCTAGTGAGAGTTTTCTTATAACTTCTACAAATTAATATTATTAAATTATTTCCTACATAATTGTTTATAGAGCTTCTCTGTATAATTTCTGAATTCCTAATGAAGATTTTCCTATATTCATAATATATAGTTTATAAGATTCATCTTCTGGAGTTGACATCTGGATGAATGACTTACCATCTTCATATTGACTGAGTTTCTCTCTGATGTATTTTTTGATGTACAGTAAGGCTTGAACTACTCCTGAAGGCTTTTCCACATTCATTACATTTATAGGGTTTTTCTCCAGTATGCATCCTCAAGTGTACAGTAAAGTCTGAGTTAGTTCTGAAGGCTTTTCCACATTCTTCACATTTATAGGGCCTCTCCCCAGTATGAATTCTCTGATGTAAGGTTAGCTGTGATACAGTAATACAACCCTTTCCACATTCCTTACAGGTGTAGGGTTTTTCTCCAGTGTGTGTTCTCCAATGCACTGTAAGGTAAGAACCTCTTCTGAAGGCTTTTCCACAGACATCACACTTATAGGGCTTCTCTCCACTGTGGATTTTCTGGTGTTCTGTGACATGTACCATCTGGCTAAATGCTTTCCCACAGTCGTTACATTTAAATGGTTTCTCTCCAGTATGTGTTCTTTGATNTAAAGCCTGAGTTACTTGTGAAAACCTTTCCACATTCATTACATTTATAGGGCTTCTCTCCAGTATGCCTTCGTTGGTGCACGGTAAGCTGTGATGTATTAGTGAAGGCTTTCTCACATTCATTACATTTATATGGTTTTTCTCCAGTATGTGTCCTTTGATGTACAATAAGGTATGATTTAGTCCTAAAGGACTTTCCACAATCATAACATTTATAGGGTTTCACTCCAGTATGAATTTTCTGATGCTCCTTGAGATTTACCATTTTGGTGAAGGCCCTCTCGCAGTCAGTACATTTATATGGTTTCTCTCCAGTGTGAATTCTCTGATGTACAGTTAAGTGTGATTTTATTCTGAAAGACTCCCCGCATTCATTGCACAGATAAGGTTTCTCTTCAGTATGAATACGCTGATGTATAATTAGAGAAGAAGAACGCATGAAGGCCTTTCCACATTCATTACATTTATAAGGTTTCTCTCCTGTATGCATTCTGTGGTGTACAGTAAGGCATGAATAATTAATGAACGCCTTCCCACATTCATTACATTTATAGGGTTTTTCTCCTGTGTGAATCCGCTGATGTTCTGTGAAATTTGCAATGCGGTTGAATGCTTTCCCACATTCATTACATTCATAGGGTTTTTCCCCAGTGTGGGTTCTTATATGTACGATAAGGCTTGAATTACTTCTATAGGCTTTTCCACATTCATTACATCTAAAAGGTTTCTCTCCAGTATGAATCCTCTGATGCACATTAAAAATTGTGGTATTCTTAAAAGACTTCCCACACTCATTGCACTGATATGGTTTCTCTTCAGTATGGGTCTTCCGATGTACACTCAGATACGACTTATTCCTAAAGGCTTTCCCACAATTATCACATTTGTAGGGTTTCTCACCATTGTGAGTTTCCTGATGTCTTGCAAGTTTTGACTTATCACTAAAAGCTTTCCCGCATTCACTACATTTATAAGGTTTCTCACCAGTTTGAATTCTCTGGTGCTGATTAAGACGGGCACACTGGCTAAAAGATTTCCCACACACATTACACTGATAAGGTTTCTCTTTAGTGTGAATTCTCTGATGTACCATAAGTGATGAAGAAGCAATGAAGGCCTTTCCACATTCATTACATTTATAGGGTTTTTCTCCAGTGTGAATTTTTTTGTGCTGACTGAGATATGAAGGCTGGCTGAATGTTTTCCCACATTCATTACATTCATAAGGTTTTTCTTTAGTGTGAGTTCTTTGATGCTGAATGAGCAATGACCTATAACGAAAGGCCTTTTCACAGGTACTGCATTTGTAGGGTTTTTCCTTATTATTGGATTTCTTCCCCAAAGTAAGTTCTGAAGTCTGCCTTATGGCTTTGCTGCCTTTCATTTCCTTGCAAATTATCTTTCCCAAATGGGTATCTGTAATCAAATCCATATTTTCTGCGAAATTTTCCTCTTGTGTTTGGTATCTACTATGAACCTCTTCTATGGGAACACCTGGTTCTGGAATAAGAATAGATTCAAATCTAAAGCCTCTTTGACTAGTGGGAGTCTTCTTGAGTGTAATTATTCTTTGACTCAAATGATTCTCCTGATTATTTTGTAATCTCAATATCCTATCATTCCATTTCCATAACCCTTCCATTCTGGAATCCCATAGACTATTCTCTGTATGTTTCTCTACTATGGCCTGCTGTGATAAATCTTCAGAAACATCCTTTGTTCGTGTAGCATTCTTGGTTGCAGGTTTGGTCTCCAGGTCTGGGGTAAAAAAGAGAAAAATCAAGTAATTCCTTTCCTAAGCTGGGGAAATCTCACTAAACAGAAGAATAAAAGTAATAAATATATGGATAATGAATATGTGGTTTTAATTGGTTTCACACTGACTTGTTTTCTAGGGAGAGGAAGGGAGGGCTAAGGGAGGCTGGTTCAGTAAAAACTAAAGTAGTAAATTCAATGAAACTTTCCCATTAAAAAAGTCCATTCAGCTGGGCACAGTGGCTCATGCCTATAATCCCAGCACTTTTGGGAGGCCAAGGTGAGAGGATTGCTTGAGCTCAGGAGTTTGAGACCAGCCTGGGCAACAAAGCACAAAACCCTGTCTCTACCAAAAAAAATACAAAAATTAGCCAGGCATGGTGGTGTGCACCTGTAGTCCTAGTTACTTAAGAGGCTGAGGTAGGAGGATTGCTTGATCCCAGGAGGTAGAGGCTGCAGTGAGCCAAGATTGTGCCACTGTACCCTACCCTAGGTGACAGAGGAAGGCTCTGTCTCTTAAAAAAAAAAAAAAAAAAAAAAGTCCATTCATGTTTTAGAGCCAACTATTTAAGATGGTATTCTTCAACTTTTGACAAACTCACAAATTGTCATACTTCCTTGCTTTCTATTTACTCCACAAACCAGACATTAGTTCCCAACCATACTTTCTATTTGTTCTCATTCTTGATTGACTAGCTTTGTCAGAGCTTTCTCAAATTTCACTGGTAGAATAGTTTATTCAAGTCTTTGTACATACCTTTTAATAAAACTTATATGGAAAAAAACACTTATTTTCAAACAGAGCTGAACAATAAACTAGTTAAAAATTAATATTTATACTTACAGATATTTCAAATAGTGATAATTATTATTTAATTAAGGGTAGACTTTACAACTTTTTTATGGCCCTAAGAACATTTCTGATAGCTTCTCTAAAATTCACTAAAAAAAAACCCAAAAAACACTGTAGGATACTGGTCTTGCAACTTGTTTGTATATGCAATATCTTATTTTTAAGATACTTTAATGCTTTTTAAAACTTCTAATTCATTTTCAGGTAATTGTGCTTCAGTGTTTAAATATAAATTCAGTAAAAATGCTTGCAGATGGTAGAATGGTTTTATGACTTTATTATTTTATTTTTGAGGCGGAGTTTCATTGTTGCCCAGACTGGAGTACAGTGGTGCACTCTCAGCTCACTGCAACCTCCACCTCCTGGGTTCAAGTGGTTCTTGTGCCTCAACTTCCAAAATAGCTGGGATTACAGGCATGCATTACCATACTCAGCTAATTTTTCTAATTTTTAGTAGAGAAAGGGTTTTGCTATGTTGGCCAGACTGGTCTCCAACTCCTGGACTCAAGTGATCTACCCTCCTCACCCTTCCAAAATGCTAGGGTTACAGCTGTGAGCCACTGTGCCCAGTCAGTTTTATGACTTTAAAACTCACTTTTAAGCAGTACGATTTGTCTAAATTACTTTTATAAAATTTAATTTTCTGTCATGCTGTTGCTATTTTTTATCATTCTTTTCTTTTACCTTTAAATGGTTTTAATTCATTTGAGCATATTTTTTGTTGTCCTAGGATATTATATTGCCAAAATCTGATTTAAAAAAAAACAACGTTTCACTGTCAGAAAAAAAGCTATAAGGCTGGGTGTAGTGGCTCATGCCTGTAATCCCAGCACTTTAGGAGGCTAAAGCAGGAAGACTGCTTGAGCCCAGGAGTTTAAGACCAATGTGGGCAATGCAGTGAGGCCCCATCTCTACAAAAAATAAAAAATGAGCCAGACATGGTGGTACGCATGTGTTGTCCTAAATACTTAGAAAGCTGAAGTTAGAGGATCTGTGGTGAGCTATGATTGCATCACTGTACTACTACCTGAGTGACAAAGTAAAACCCTGTCTCAAAATAAACAAATAAATAAAAGAAGGCTGGGCACCATGCCTCATGCCTGTAATCCCGGCACTTTGGGAGGCCGAGGTGGGTGGATCACCTGAGGTCAGTAGTTTGAGACCAGCCTGGCCATTGTGGTTGATACCGGTCTCTACTAAAAAAATAATAATTAGCAGGGTGTGGTGACACACGCCTGTAATCCCAGCTACTCGGGAGGCTGAGGCAGGAGAATTGCTTGAACCTTGGAGGTGGAGGTTGCAGTGAGCTGAGATTGCGCCACTGCACTCCAGCCTTGGCAACATGGCAAGACTCTGTCTCAAAAATAAAATAAGAAGAAAAGCTAGAGAAAACATATCTGTAGCACCAATTTGGAATTCAGGAACTAATAATAAATTTAAAAGGCCAAAGAATAAGAAGTTGGAAAGCAGAAAAATTTGCTACAAGATGCACTAAATTTATAAAAGCTTAGAGTACAAAAACGTTATATTAGCAATTAGAAATTTTCTTCAATAAATTTACTTATAGAAATTTCATTAATTTATATGCACTAAATTCTCACCTTTCTTGAGTGAAAGCAAAATTTTAGTCCCAGACAATAAGAATGAAAACCAGAAATAAAACCTCTTATATTTGAGAGGTCTGCACTTTAGGGATGTCAGATTAAGTAATCTGGACCAACTTAATTGCTGAGAACAATTCAAAAAGTTGGACAAAAGAAACAAAGTCTGTTTGGAAGCATTTGAAAGCTAGAAAGACTTTAAAAATTACAAGAGAAGAACGAAAACTAAAAAAAGGATCCAGGTATTTGGTGACATTTTCCCCTTCAAATGCCTGTTAATTCTCTAAGAAATGACTGAGATGCTGAATAATGAAGCAGAACTTTTAATAAACTCATAGGGCAAGAAAGACAGACGGATTTAGGTCCTCTAAGAAGGACAATTCTAGAAAAACTAGTGTTTGGCTAGAACCTTAAGGGGATAAGCCCTACAAATAGAATGATTAAGAAACAGGCCAGCTGGCTCAAGGACTAAAACCCACCTGATTTAAATTTCTCATTGAATTGAAGCGACTGAATATTGTTATAGCGCCTAGCCTAGCAGCCTGACAAAAGCAAACATTAATTCTCTATGGGAAAGATTACATAATCTAGAACCTCTTATTATTGCCATAGATTTTCGTAGTCAATGCCTGATACCCAATCAAAAATAACAGGCCTAAATGGAGACAAGGCCAGGTGTGGTGGTTCACACCTGTAATCCCAGCACGTTGGGAGGCCAACATGGGCAGATCTCCTGGGTCAGGAGTTCAAGACCAGCTTGGGCAACATGGCAAAACCCATCTTTACTAAAAAATACAAAAAAATTTTTGCCAGGTATGGTGGCGTGTGCCTGTAGTCCCAGCTACTCAGGAGGCTGAAGTGGGAGAATCACTTGGAGGCAGAGGTTGCAGTGAGCTGAGATTGCACCACTGCACTCCAACCTGGGTAAAAG